AATTCTCTTAGCGTTACTGGCTTGAATCACACAGAGCAAACAGTCTCCACCCTCTCCCATTGCTTTGTCTGAGCACCTATTCACAGGCAGCCACCTTTACTGATGGACAGACAACGACGTGCCCTGCAGTCCCATCAAAAGCAAGATGCACCCGGTCACTGGAAGGACAGCGCCCTGCCCCCTCCTTTCCATCTCTGCCCCACCCGCCGCTGCCAAGGAGCAGAGTACAATCTCCAGCCACGCTCGGCTGCCCTTCAGGCCACGTTGGACACCCAGGCAAGGGGACGAGAGAAACTGGGGGAAGCTGGGCTGATGACACTGCCTACGAAGGCTGCTAGCTAGGAAAAGCTCCTCCCCACCTTCCTCATTCTTCCACCTCACTGTAAAGAAAACACCAGCGGATGGTTTTCCTCTCTGTAGTCTGCCTTCCATGTGGGAGTGAGGGAAATTAAAAGTAAGTGATGCATTTCAGAAAGCACATCATGAGCCTCCCTCTGGGTTTCAGATGGTACACCTTTTACCTCTGATTTACGAGGCCCCCCCAGGGTGTGGCAGGCACTATCTGACCCCTGCCTTTTGAAGAAGGCCCTGACTATTCCTACCCCAAAATCACTTTCTGAGAAAGAGAAGAAACAGCACACTTATTTACCCATTTCCTAATTATATTTGGATGTAAAAAAAAATATGACTCAACAATGTGTGTTCAACAGGTCAGATGTACACAAATGACCTTGAGACACGGAAACTTCTACCTTCACACTGGGGCTGCGTTCAATCAAGGTGATGGTTACCAACCCTGGCTTCAGATTTCTACCTTTTATCTTGCTGCAAACATACTTAAAACACATTTATGGTAGAAATGTAATGCAAACCACAATTGTTATTGTTTTCTAACATTTGTTCAGTTCCTCGGAAGAGATTCTGAACCTAATAAAATTCTTTTTTAAAAGGTAGGTATAAACTGGGCTGAATAAACTGAGCCAGAGAGGTGGGGTAACATGGAGGTGGGGACATATGGAGGCCTAATCTAAGAGTGGTAATCTCAGTGAAGGGGGAGAGAAAGCTATTGTCCCCTTATCAGGTGAGACTATACTGCATAGTCTCTATTGATACTATGCTGCATTTCTTTTGAGCGCATATCTGTTTAATGAAGAATACAAGTAAGGCATCACTTTATGGATTATGTAGACTTTCCAAAACAAAAAGTCTTATTAACATGTGAGAAAAGGTGCAGTTACATACACATATCCTTGGGAATGCTTAACCTGAACACATTTGGTAACAGAAACGAAGTCACCTCAGACAAGCTGCCATTTGACACCACAGGGTTAGGTCAAAGAATACTGAACTTCAATTAAACACATTACAAAAGAAAGATTATTTAAATATGACAACAAAAACAAAATCAACATTAACATTCTACCTTTCTAGGTCAAAGGACCTGGAGAGTTCAGAAATTGATTGAATCCAGTAAATAATGTAAAACAGGGAAGGACTCCCTTTCAAAAATGCTTCGGTTAATTTTAGCATCCTTCTGTTTAGCTGCTTAGCAACCCTTATCCTATGACCTTCTAAGCACCACCTACTTTTCAGAAGGATAATGAATAGAAACATCAAAAGGATTCACTTCTGACTGCATCTAGAGAGCAGGTTTAACCAATTTCTATATCAGTCAAGTTTATATTAATTATGCCATTAAACCCCTAAAAGGACAGAATTTTTCAACTTCATTAAACAGGAAATCTCCTTAGCTGAAGCTGATATCATTATATTAGCAAGTGAGCATACAGATAGCAAGCAAAGACCTCCAAACTGACCCAGGAAGTGAACTCACACAACAGTTCAAAATCAAAGAGTTAAAAATGAGGGGTCTCCTAACAGCAGCTAGTATTGCCTGCCTTAAAGCAGGTAACCAATAAACAGCTGTTGATCAGATGCAGGATGAATAAAGTTAGGCTTCATTTTCCTCCTTCAATATTCCGTACCTGTGTTGGAGGAAGTAAGACTTTAAAGGATGCCTGAAGAGATCTAAAATAAAAAGACCCTTCAATCAAAAGGTCACTTGTTGGATGGTGTACATGCCTAGGAAGGGATGTTCCACCTGTACCAGCTGAGTCAGAGGCACAATCATCACGTAACAAACACTAGTCTGTCATGAGGCTGGACAGTCTGAATTTCTGATGAGAAATAAAATGGTATGTAGGAAAATGCAGAGAATGATATTCCATATACCAGTAAGCATCAGCAGCATTTCTTAAGATTATCACATACCCAGCAAATCCTTTTTAAACAACAAAGCATTCTAAAGCCAACCAGTTCAGCAGTATTTTTAAGAATGATAGGACAGTGCAAGTTCATTAACCTAAAATGAAGAAAGAGAAATAAATAAATAAATCAAAGAGCTCCTCTCTCCCTTTTTTCTGTAAAAAGGGGAAAGGTATTTTTTTTCACACATTTAAAACTTGATTAAAGCCACTGAAATGTTTAATTCATCAGTGTAACCAAAGCTCAAAACACATCAAAGCAGAACCCATCAACGGGTACCCAGAAGTCTCCCTACAAAGGGCAGAAGTAAAAAACAACAACAACAACAAAAAAAAAAAAAAAAAACGATGGTCCACTTTGCATATATTATTTAGAGTATTTCAAATTCATTCCTTCAAAAGTTCTGTGGATTCTTGAAGGAAGCAGAGTTTTTTAAAAGAGGCTTTAGCCAAGCCTCTAACTCAAACTTCCGGGTTAAATTATGTCTTGGAAACCATACCTGCCTACTCCCAAAAGCACCAAATCTAGAGGATGCTTTTCACGGGTGTGAACAAACAAAAACACATTCTTTTCTTTGCCGCTCTCATTTCCCCAACTTTCACTTCAATTAACTTTTTTTTCAGAACACACTTGTGCACAAGCACAGATATTAACTGGTGAAAAAAAAAAAAAGATCTAAAAAACACGGGAATGCACATCAGCCACACCATCTCCTTTCAAGACAGAAATACCTTGCAATTTCCAGCATCCCTATTCAACAGGCAAACTTTCTTTCCCTTGGCTTTTCAAGAGCTAAGCTTAAACCTAGACTCAAAAACAAGAACTAGGGCGAATTGTTCTTCTGATGAAAAATCCTTAGACAGGTTTTTCAGCATACCAAAAAGTTCCATTTCTTTATTCACCCCTTTACTTTTCTCCACCACCACCACTACTTAGCATCCCCAAAAGAAGAAGAAGAAAAAAAAAAAAAACCCTCCAAAGTGCCCCGAATATGTGCTGCTGCTGGCTCTGAAGCCGTGTAGAATTTCGTAATGGAATGTGAACTGCTCGTCCGGATCTGGGCTCACGTTCTATCTCCTAACCAGTAAGGAGCAAGGGAGGGCAAATCTGCTGAGCAAGGAGAAATACTTTCCTCCTCTTTTATAACCCATCACGGATGCACCGCGAATGAGGGACGCTAGCTGCTGCACGCGGCGCCTGTCAAGCGGCCCCGTAGCCAGTCGGGCCTGCGACCCGTGGGGTCCCCGCACCCCCAGACCCCCGCCCCGCCGGGACCCGGGCTCCGTCACCGCGCCCGACACTCACGCGCGGCGGGGGAGCGGGTCACATCCTCGAAGCGACCCTGGCCGGGTCCAGAAAACACGCCGCTTCCCAGGGAGGGGGCTGGCGACGGGAAGGACCTCCCCTGCTCCTTAGCAACCATTAAGGTCGCAGTTTCCTAAGAGACCGCGAGCGGGGAGGGGGCGCCGGGAACTGGGCTCGAGCGCGGGGGGTGGAGGACCAGGCCCCCTTGCCCCGCACCCCGCCCCGCCCGCCCGGGCCTCCCCCGCCCCCCCGCTGGGCGCTGCGGGCAGGGATGGGAGGAGGAAGCGAAGCCCCAGAACTTGCGAAAAATTGGTCCAGCCGGCGGCGGACAAAAGTTTCCGAGCGCGCTCCACAGCTGGGCGGCGGAGCGGGGCCGGGCGGCGGGCCCCGCCTCGGATGCTCCCGGCCTCCTTCCTGTGCTCGTGACGGCGCCGGGCCCGAGCCCCCCCGCCCCGCGATGCAGGCTCGATCCTCACCGAGGTCTCCCACGAAAACACGTACCCCGCCAACGGAAGAACAAGGGAACAATACGCGCCGCCACGGCCCGGTCCCCTCCTTCCCCGGTCCCCCGGGGCGGTGGTCGGCGGGACCCCCACCGCGAGCCGAGAACCCGCGAGGACGCGGGGTTGCCTGCGGCCCCCTCCCGGCCGGCGCCGTCCTCCCGGGAGGATCAAAGTCCGCAGAGCAGGGCGCGGCGGATGCTCCCACCGAGCAGCCCCGGTCTAGCACCCCGGCGCCAAGCACCCCGGGCAGGCACCCCCAAGCGGGCACCCCCGGATACCTTGCGGCGGCGGCGGGCGGGCGGGCGCCGTCATCTCCGCGCTTCCCGGCCCGAGAGGGACTCGAAAGTATGTAGGAGAAAAGTTTCCCCTCCCACATGGGGGGGAGGATGTCGGGGGAGAGAGGGCGGAAGATGGAGAGCTGCGCTGGGAAGATGTTTCTGGCCGGCGGTGCGTGCACCATCCGAGTCCCCGCGGTGCTGGTTAAAAATAAACTAGGCGGCGCGGGTCGGGCCGGATTCCTGCGCTCGGACGGCTAATATGGATGCGCATCAGGTCCTGCTGGCGGGGCGCTGCGGCGGCTCGCGCTGGGAGCTGGTTGGCAGAGCCGGCAGCTCGGGAAGGGGAAAGGAGCGGAGGAAGGGGAGGAGGGGGAGGAGGAGGAGGAGGAGCGGCCCGGCTCCGAGCCGGAGGGGAGAGGGCTGCCGGGCTCATCCCCGGCTGGCCCCACCGCCCCCAGCGCGTGCTGCGCGGCGTGGGGTGCGCGGGTCCTCCGCTCCGGGAGACGCCGAGTTTCAAAAGTACAACGCACTCTGCAGACTTCACCCTCCCCATCCCCAAAAAGTTCTTTAAAAGGTCGCTCCCGGCAGTGCCCCGGACATCTCGCTGCCACCCAAGGACCGCGAGCCGGAACCCGGGACGCGTACTTACGGCCCGGCAGGGCGCTCGGCTCCCAGGCATGATGCGGTGGGGACCGGTGGGCTTCGGGGAGAGAACGAAGAGAGATGCAAACTTGTTCCGGAAAAGGAATCAAAATGGCGTTTCTGGATGTGCAAAGTTCATCAACTCCGCAGTCACTTCCCCTCCTCCTCTTCTCCCTCAGGGAGGGAGGTGGGCGAGGAGCTGGCGACCCCAGCGCCCCAGCCGCCGTCCCGGCCCCCGCCTCGGCCCCCCGCCCCGCTTCCTCGCCCGCACGCTCGGAGACTCGCTCTCCCCCTCTCACCCTGATAAGTAGACACATCACGTGTTGCTCCTGCGAGTCTCCAGGGGACGTGTTACTGAGCGGCCGCGGCGGCGGCGGCGGCTCGGGCGAGGGGGGGGGGAGGACCGCGGTACCCGCTCGTCCCTACCGCCGCCCCCGCCCCGATTTTAGCGGGGTGACCGCCTGGGCCATCCCGGGATGGATGGAGGTGGAGTCCCCACCCCACCCCCACCGCAGCCCCAGGTTTGCCCCACGCCCTCCGGAGGCCCCCGGGGCCAGGGGAGGGCCCGCCGCCCGAGGGGAAGGGTCTGGGCTGGCGCAGCTGATCGCTAGCCCACCCCGCCCGGCGCTCACCCGCGGCCACCTTCTCCAGCCACCGCGCCCCCTCCCCGCCAGCCTTCAGTGCCGGCGGCTCCCGGTCCCCGGGTTTCCATCACTTTACTTCATGGTTTGTTTCACTATTTTAACGGAGGAGGGGGAAAGGCGGCGACGCCCGGGGGCAGCGAGAGGGGCACCTCGGAGGCCGGGGAGGGTAACGTGGCGGAGGGGGAGCCCCACCGGCGCGGCGCCTCCTCCACGCGGTCCTCGCTCTGCATCCAGGTGGGGCGAGTAGAGGATGGGCAGGAGATTAAGGCACAGGCGCGTTTCCCCGCCCCCAGCTTCACGCGCTCGCGCTGCCCGGTCGGTCCTTCCAACCTGAGGCTGCGCCAGCGTTCGCTCTCCGTCTAACAAACGCAACGCGCCTCCACTCGGGTCACCTACCCTGCCCTACGCCCCGCAAAAGGATGCTTCAACGGAGGCTCCTGGTCGCCGATGGAGCCGGGGATGGCGGAGGCGCCTACCGCCACCGTGTCCCCACCCCTCCATGGAACGGCTGATGCTGTGTCATCCACGTCGCCCTCCAAGGCGTCAGGGAAGCCACATGCAATATCTCTTTCTCTCAGAGGGCTCCTGTTTCAACTCTGAAAAACAGGGGCCCTCCTCGGAGCCGCTCTCCATCCCTGCGGCTCCTGCCGCCACCTCGCACTTCGCCCGGGCTCTCTTGGCCCGAGTTATCAGAGAGCCCAGAGAAACCAGGCCTGGCTGTGCTTCCTCTATAACGCAGCTGACATGTTTCCAACTGGTGATACTCTTCCTACTGAGGCTCCCAAGGGGGCCAGTTCTCTCGGCCTTTGGACACATCTTCAGAAAGATCAAGATGATCCTGGTTGTTGAAAATAAACCCCCTTCCCCCGCCCCCCATAAAGATGAAAGAACACAGAACAGGACTGTAGAGTTATGCATTTGAGACTACTGAGGCAAGATGATGTTACACATGCAGAGAGCTGGCTACTCCTCCTTTAGTCTGACCTTTGACCCTGGCTCCACCCACCAGCTCCTCCAAGAACCCTTGAACGCCATACAAAGTTATTAGCCCCATTGTGGGTTTTAATTTGAGGCCTTCCTTCAGCCAAACTCTATAGTTTTCAAGGCTGCAGGCAGAAGTGTCTGCCTCAGGATAGACTCGTGGATGGGTCTTGACCAAAACAGAACTCTCTGGAACCAAAGAAAACCAGTTGGACCATTTACCCCTGGCTTGAGATAAGTAGGCTAAACTAGTGCCCAAGAGGGAACCGATTCAGCTGGCTGTTTCTCTGACTTCCAGTGATTAAAAATAAGTTTTCAGAACCTGTTAGGTTTCCCAGGGTCTACTGTTTACTGAGGAAAACTCTATTCAGAGAGATTTTAGCAGTTGCGTTTTTCTAAGCTTTATGCCCTCACCTCCCAACCCCCTGTTCCCAAGTGTTATTATCAAATGCTTTTTTTGAAGACTGGCTTGCCCTGGAGGAAATGGGCAGTGGGTCACCGTTCACACAGTCATCACAGAATTGGTGTCTCATGCTTCCAATTTGTAACCTGTTCCAATGAGAGGGCAGAGGAAAGGCCAGGTGGGCAATTTTGCTTTATTTACTTGCCTGCTTCTGATTTTCCTGGTCTCCTCATTCAGTGATAGGTTTTGACTAGAAACAATATCAAAGGTGGAATTTTACTTTTTTTTGTAATTTAGTTTATTCTGCAAAATACATTCAAACCTCCAAAGCTACATGGATTTTCATGACAAATCACCATCTCTATAATACCGGCAGCTAAGAAAAGAAAGTTGTTTTATTAAAAGTTACTTTTAAAAAATTGGATTCCAGTGATACTAGGTCCTGTGTTCCTCCTCCTCCTTTGTAGCTAATTAATAAACTTGGAAGTCAAGCCACCTGTTCAAAGGTTTATTTGTTCATATTTCATATAAACTACTTATCCAACAAATATTTACTGAATTATGCTATCAAAACCACAGTGACATGCCACTTCACATCTACTAAGATGGCTATCATCAAAAACAGAGACAATAAGTGTTGGCAAGGATAAGGCAAAATTGGAACCCTCATACCTCTGAGGTGGGAAAGTGAACGGGTCCAGCCTTTTGTGTGTAGGGCAGGGGCAGTGCTGGGGATTGAATCCAGCGATGCTCTAACACTGAGGTACATACCCAGTCCTTATTTATTTTGAGACAGGGTTTCATTAAGTTATTCAGGCTGGCCTTGAACTTGTGATTCTCCCGTCCAGGCTTCCTAGTAGCTAGGATTACAAGCATAGGCCACTGCACCTGGTAGGTGTAACCATGTAAAAAAATCACTTGGAAGATCTTTAAAATGTTAAACATAGAATTATTATATGACCCAGAAAGTCTACTCATAGATTCATAATGCTAGAAATTAAAATATATGTTCACAGGAAAATGTGTATACAGATGCTCATAGTATTATTATTATTATTATTATTATTATTATTATTATTATAGGGATTGAAGCCAGGGGTGCTTTACCACTCATTGAACAACATCCCCTGTCCTATTCATTTATGTATTTATTTATTTATTTATTTATTTTTAGGCAGGCCCTTGCTAAATTGCTAAGACTGACCTTGAGCTTGTGATCTTCCTGCCACAACCTCCTGAATCTCTGGGATTACAAGCATGCACCACCATACCTGGCAGGAGCATTATTCATAATAGCTAAAAAAATATTCAAGACCCATTTATTAGTGAAAGGGCCAAAAAATGTGGTGTATCCATACCCATTATTCAGCCACAAAAAGACATGAAGTACTGACACATGCAACAACATGGATGAACCTCAAAAACATTATGCCAAATGAAATGTCAGACCCCAGAGGACAAATAATACAATTCCATTTATATGAAATATCCAGAATAGGAGGCCGAAAGTAAATAAACAATTACCTAGGGCCAAAGGTTTGGGGGAAATGGGGACAAACTGCTAACACAAATGGGGTTTCTTTTGAGGATGATAAAAATGTTCAAATACTGATCATGGTTATGATTACACAACTCTACATATACTTAAAAAAAAATCCCTCTATCTTCAAAGAGATAAAAGAAAGCTCCACAAAAGAGAAAGCAATGAAACTGAACATGGAAAATGCTAGAAATTTAGGAAATGGGGAGTAGGATTCAAAACATCAGATTGGCTGGGCATGGTGGTGCATGCCTTAAATCCCAGCAGCTCGGGAGGCCAAGGCAGGAAGATTGCAAGTTCAAAGCCAGCCTCAGCAACTTAGCGAGGCCTTAAGTAACTCAGTGAGACCCTGTCATAAAATAAAATATAAAAAGGGCTGGGGATGTGGCTCAGTGGTTGAGTGCCCCGGGATTCAATCTCTGGTACCAAAAAAACAAACAAACAAAAAAAACAATCAGGTCAATCGAAGCAACAAAATACATACATATACATGTATGCATGCGTATGTATGTATGTATGTGCCTGCACACAGATTATACAAATAGCAGAAGCAATGGCAGGGTTATAATTATGTGTCCTGTCCTGAGATCAGTAAGGATTTTAGCATGGCTGGATTATCACATATACAGAATAGGGCTGGGGATGTAGTTCAGTGGTAGAATGCTTGCCTAGTATGTGCAAGGCCCTGGATTCCAGCAGCCAAAATAAAATACAACAAAATAAATAAACAGTGGTGGACAAGTGATGAGTCTAAAGTGAGGGCCCCACAACAAGGCATTCGAATATTGATCTCAGGCACCCAGAGAAGGAAGGATCAAGAACCACTTCAGAGATGGGCTGGGTTTGTGGCTCAGTGGTAGAGCACTTGCTTAGCAAGTGAGAGGCATTCGGTTCAATTCTCAGCACTGCATATAAATGAATAAAACATCGATAAACATCTAAGCAAATATTAAAAAAAAATACACATCAGAGAAAGAATTGACAGAAAAGCAACTGGTAGACCAGAGATAGGGATGGGAAAGGGGAGGTGAGGAAGTCAGGGCCTGGAGGATTCCTAGCCAGCTGTCCAAGAGAAGGCCAAAAAGGGGGAAATCAGAAGTGGGAGCCCTTCGAGGTGGAAGGTGACAGAGTAGGTGACATTGAGCCTTGAGGTAGAAATACATGGCTGTGCTGTAGAAACGGACCCCAAAGGAAAAGGACGTGCTGTTGGAGAGGGCTGCTTGGATGAGGTGACATGATCTGTTGAATTGCACAAGATGGGAAGGTGTCCCCCAGGCAGAGAGGAGTGGGCAGGGCGTGCCAGACAGAGGGGGCAGGGAGCAGCCAGCACAAGGGCACAGAGGCATAAAACAAGGTCAGTTTCCTGGACTGCAAATACCTCCCTCTGTGGTAGCAGCGGAGGGGGAGAAGGGGAGGCAGCAAGAGATGGGGCTGGAGCCATGGCCAGGGGGCCCGGATGGCTCTCAAGAACACCACACACCTTGAAGCCGACTTGGACTCCATCCAACAGTGAGGCAATGAAAGGGCTTATGGAGTTGAAGAGGGAAGACAGCCTCCCTTGTGGCACTGCGGAGAACAGTCTGGAAGA